CAGAACCCAGCGGCCCGCTGGAACGTGCAAAAACGCCGGCCGGACGCGGCCGCCGCGCTGCGCCGCTCGAGGCGTCGGTAGGGGCGTGGAGAAGCGCCCTTTCGGGAAGGGGAACAAGGACAGATGGTCCCTCCCTCGCATTCTTCATTGTATTATGCCAACCCTTCCTGCGCGCGCGGGGCGGCGGCCAGCGCGGCGTCAGGGGAGGGGAGGGGCAGGTGCTGCTCGGTCAGGGAGGGGCGGGCCGCAGAGCTGCGCACGGTCGCAGGACAGAACCCGCCCAGCGGTCCCTCCCGACCGCTCTCCGCCGGCTGCCGGTCCTGTTGACGAATGCCCGGCTGGTTGGAATTCGGCCCGGTGTGTGCGGACTCGCGTCAGATGACGCCCCGCGCCCGGCTGCGGCCCGTTGGGACCGCCCCGGGCGGAAGACGATACGCGGCCGCACCGGTCTGCGGGAAGAGGACGCCGCCGACTGGGGAGGAGGGAGAGAGGAGAGGGAGGGAGAGCGGAGGGCGGGAGCCGGGTCACGACAGTTCGAGTGTGGTCACTTCAGCCAGCTGGCGGGGTCGCGCTGAGCGGCGTTTCCCGCGCCATCTGCCGCGCTGGCCTTTTTGCAGCAGGCGGCGAAAAACGGCTCGTCGGCTGCGCTCGTGGCGCCGGTAGCGGCAGGCCGTGCCGTCTCCAGACACGATCGAACACCGCTGTTCGGTGACCGTTTTTGAGGCGGTACGGGTCGGTTGGGTCGATTGGGCCGAGCACCACTGCGGTGTCTATTGGTCCATGTGGTCTCACCGCGGTCACAGACTCACACTGCGACCACTTCCTTACCGATGCAGCTGTCGCCGAAGTGACCGTCATTTTCCTCCGCTGTGCCGCGCCGACACGGCGTGTTTAAAAGGACCATTGTACCGAGCCGTGGCGTAGATTGAGCCTGATTTGATTTTAATTACCCGCTTCAACTGCGTCTGTCTATCACGGGTTTCGTCAGCGGCCTGACCGACCAGCAATGAGCTCACAGCTGCAGCCGTCCGGACTGATTCGGATAGCGAGGGCGGCGCCCGACCGCCCGGCCGGGGCCCACGGACCGCCCTGCGCAAATATTTGCCCGACTGCCTGGCGGCTCGGTCGGTCGCTCGGGCGGCCGCACCGACCACGCTCTGTTGTCATGTCGATAAGTTTGTAGGTCAGCGGCGGCGGTCGGCCGGGGGCGGTGGGGTGCCGCGGGCGTTCTGTACCCCGTCACCCTCGGTCGGCGCGCGCCTGATTAACAAAGGACCGTGGGTGGGAGCGGGGTGGGGAACAGCAGCGGCCGTGGGAGTCGGCCGCTGACAGCAGGGCCGCCGCGGAGGGTCCCTGCCAACCGACCGAAGTGGCAGAGCCAGAGGGGCCTGGAGCGGGTGATCCGTCATCTGTTTTAACCCACCCGGGTTGAGCCTCGGCCCAGCGCCGTCCTACTCGGCCCGCCGGACGGACGGGCGTAGCCGCGGCGTGCCTACGTCCCACGCCGCAGGCGGTAAACACGGTACGGGCGGGCCGTGTGAGATTGTGTGCGGAGGGCGGCCGCGGCGGGGGCGGGGGCGGCCGGCTGTGGTCCCACACGACCCCCGAGTAGTGTATGAAGAGGGTGGAGTCAGAGGTCTGGCCAGGGTGCAGAACCGCAGTGCAACCTTCAGAGTTCCCGTCTGGTCGCCTGTTTTCTATCAGCTCTACCGTCTGTCTCCACTCAGACCGAGGTCTGCTGATCATCTGCTCCCGACAGAGCCGCCTCTCCCTCTCCCTCTCCCGTCCGGGGGGGGGCGAGGCCGGCCCCCCTCTACGCCCTCCGGGCGGATGTCCGCTCCTCTCGGCTGTGAATCTGTGTCACGGTCTCTCGCGCCGCACCCATCCTCATACGTGGCCGGCACTTTATAGATATGGCCGGTTCGCGCGCTGCCTTATGGATATGGTGTCAGGTAATGCACGACCTATGGTCTTAGCTCGACTCGTCTCACCCCAAGAGACCACCGGGGACCACCTGGGACCATCTGCCGAACCACCGGGGACCACCTGGGACCATCTGCCGGACCACCGGGGACCGTTAAGAACCGATGCGCCTCTCGCCGACCGCTTACACCTCGCTCAACGCGCCCGATACATATCAAAGCTGGCACAGATTGAATCCGTGCTGATTTGCAACGCGCTAAGCAGCGCCATAAATGTCGCACTAAGCTGTGGCGCCGCCTGTGCAACCACCTGGTAGGCGCCGCCAGCCGGGATGTCCCGGGATAAGTCGCTGGCTCGCTGATCTATCCGCCGTGTTGCGTTGCGGGCCGGTGAGATACGATACTGCGGCCGCCGCACCTGCCGGGCGCTGCTCAGCCCGTGTTTCGGCCGGATACTTTGGTGGGATTTCGGTGTCCGTACGCGCTGTTGGAGAGTCGAGCCCCACGCGTGGGTCGATACAGGCCCAGTGGCGCTCACGACTAGCGGCTCGCCGCGTTTGAGCGACTCCAAGACAATGGCGCGGCGGTTATTGGGCATAACCGGATGCATGACGAATTGCTTATTTGCGCCGGCGCCGAGCGCCTTTGATGTCGCAGCGCAGCGCATCTAATGGTCGCAGAGAGTCGGCGAAAGCACGCCACGCCAGTGCGGCGCGCGAATCGGTCACCGCGGCCGTCACGGCAGTCTCCGTACGGGCGCGGCTGACGGTCAAACTGAAGGGGCTAGTTAGAACTTCAATGTCATAAAGCCTTCATGTAACCACTCTTCATCTTCGAACTTATGTTATGCGTTTGTGCAAAAGACGAAAATGCACGCTAATGCGCGACGTTGACCATCAATCGTCAATTCTCTACGCGACTCGGTATTGGCACGCTCACGTCCTGTCCCGGTAACATTTTCCAGTGAGCGGCGCTGAACCACTGCCGGCAGCAGCGGTAGCGCCAGGTCTAGCTGACTGAGCCCTGAGGGCGAACAATCAGTGCACGCATATTGCTGTGAGACAGAACGAACCATGACGCCAGTGACTGCCTCCAACCGGTGACCAAAGCCGTGCAGTGCGCCGGCGGTCCATGCCATTACTGACGACGAAATAAGCGGGTGAAACTGGCTCCCAGTTAGCGCCCAGTCATTATCAAATGGACTCAGCAAACCTTACGAAAGCGTTGTTGGCGTGCCACTTAGCTGTGCCCACCGTCAAGTCGTGTGTCGCTGGGAACTCGCGTTGGTTTGCCTCTCTCTCTCGGCGCGAGTTTACATTGGCAGGTCGTTTTGTGCACGGCGCGGGACGTGGCCGGGGCGTGCCCGGGGGGGGGGGGGGTGCAGAGGGCGTGCCCCGGGGTAGGGGGAGGGGAGGGGGCGCACCCGGGGCGTGCCGGCCGTAGCCGGGGCGTGCCCGGGGCTGTGGCGTCAGAGGGCGGCTCCCGGTGCGTGGCAGTGCGCCGGGGGGCGGCGGAATCGGGCGGGGTCAGAGGGGGCCGGGAGGGGGTCGGGTGGGGCCGTGTCACCTTCCGGGCCACTGTGTCAGTCGCACAGACCGCCCTTTCCCGGGATAACGTGGTGGGGCCTGCAGGTCTGGCTAAAACGCGGACCAGTCAGCAGCGGGAGGTAAAACGCAGTCATATTGCCGGCTGGTGACGGGGACCGGGCCGTTATCAGTGATAGTGATGGGGATTGTGATGCCGTGACGGCGAGTCGGTGACGCAGTGACAACTCTGGAGAACCCGTCCCAGGTAGCGGGGATGATTGCCTCAGTGTGCACCACTGTTTCGTGTTACCGACGCGTGGAATCGCCGACTCCAATTTTTGTCCAGGCATATCAGACTAATGGCTCTGTGTTGGGAGTAACGGTTGTTTCTCAACTGACTATGCAATCAGCATTTCTAAAGAGAAAAAAGTGAATGTTGAGAGAGTGAGAGATGATGCCGGAAAAACTAGTGATTCCGACCGTAAAATCTGTCCGTTGCACTGTTTGACCTCGAGATATGGTTGGCTCAAGGTCCAGGCCCGTTTGTCGCTGTCAGGGCCACCATTTGTCGAGTGCCGTGCCCTTCCAGCCGATCCCAGCCCAGTCGGGCCGGGCGGGAGGGGCGGGCCAAACCTCGCCACTGCACACACACACTCACAGGCAGACACACACACAAACGCACACAAATCGCCTCACGTCCCGACTGGCCCCGTAAAAACGCGCCGACCAGCGCCGCCCCGAACATCGCCCGTCGGCGGCGAATCCTGCGCGCGCGCCGCGAAACTGGCACAAGGCTGTGCGGTTGGCGAAGCGGGCGGGCGGAGGGAGGGGAGATGGGACCCGGGCGGGAGGGAGGAGGGGAGATGGGACCGCTGCTGTTCCGACCCCACCTCCGGGCGGGTGACGGAGCGCAGAGGCTGCAGTTGACGGCGTCGGAAACGACGGTGAAGTGTCGCTATCCACCGCCGGCGTCTGAGCTAAAACACACAGTTGACAACCATATTGGTTTATTGATATAGTCCCAGACTTTTCCCATCCCCTCTCCCACCTATTTTCCTTATCGGTCCCTCACCCCACCCACAGGTCTTCCCTCGTCCACCGTGTGACGTAGGTGGGCCCGTCGCCAGCCGCCGTCATCCGTCCACTGGCCGCGATTAATTGAGCCATGCATCAGGTGTGTCAGGCCGTTACTCCAGGCTCGCGCTTGCCACGAGCCTGGCCGCCCGGACGAGCCAGTGATCCGTGACTGGTCGGCGACGCCCGTGAACTGACCGTGACCAACGACCCGCGACCCGTGACCGGTCCTCTCATACAGCCACGAGGCCAGGCACCCATGGACTGTAAATCCCGCCGAACTGACCACTGACCTCAGTTACAAAGGTCAGTGTTAAACTGACCACTGGCCGTCTCTTCGTGACTGGCCGTCTCTTCGTGACAATGAGCGGTTCGTTCGCGACAATTCGTGACCGTGACCGTGACCCGTGTACCTATATCCGTGTCTGTGTCCGTGAGTGACTGGGTGTGACTGACCGGGTCTGTATTTTTGTTCCAGGTCTCGCCTGCTTTCCTGTTCAATGGTGACGGTGGCAGCCGCCGCCGGGCTGCACTAGCCGCCCCGAGCCACTTCGCCCCTTGAGGTCACCCTAGATCACCAGAGGTCACCAGAGGTCACCGAGGTCACCGCTGGTCACCGGTCCCGGCCCACGGTCACCATTCCGGCCGCGTTGTTTTCCACAGCGCCGTACTGCGGCGGTCAGCTGAAGCCTGCATCGATGCACGCAGAAATGACGTCCAAAGAGGTGGGTCTAAAGCTCTCAGCAGAGAGTGATAGCGAACTCTGGCTACTTTAGTGAAAAACAACACTAGGAGGCTCGTCGTATACTAACAGAATATCTTGAATCACATGTCTGCATCCGCAATAGATTTTTGAACGTTCATGCAACAAAAGTAGAAATCGCGGCAGCATGAATCCAAATTTGGCCGGTGCACAATGAACTGAAGAATGCAACACACTGAGGGAGTTAATGGCGGTAAAATATCTGCCAAGGGGGATGCACCGGTCTGTTGTTACCATGCACGCTTCGATGACCTACATGTGTGCCATGACTCACAGCAGGGGCGTCGCCACGGATTTTTGAGTGGGGGGGTCGGGTTTCTAGTCTTCACCCGATGGGTAGGGGTGTTTTTTTTTTTGCCACACTTCCTAGTTTTGTGCCTGCGTATGTGTGTGTGCGCGCGTGTAACAAATCGGCGCGCAGCGCCGCGAAATTTAGTATAACCTATTAGGTATAATATAGGTATACCTACCTACATCACTTGCGTAAAAATTATCACTGGTCACTTAAAGGTAGTGTGCCACCTTTGAAAATTTCCCATTTTATTTTTCCTAGGATAAGAAGCTTCTGTTTTTACCTAATATCGCAAAAAAAATCAAAAATGGGCCTGGAATAGTGCCTTTTTCGCCTAAAAGTTTTTCGGTTTTTAGATATGTATAACAACTGTAGTGGGCTCACCTGCAAACAGGCGTCGGGCAACAATCGCGAATGCGGCGCACTTGTGACAATAAGCAAAGGTCATTATAGTGTTACGACCATACGACGTACGGAAATGAGTTATCAGCTGTCTAATCGTAGACAACACAATGTCGAGCCTTAAACTGTAAGCCCGTATTGGTATTGTTTCTTTTATTTGGCTGTCGAACATTATTTATGGTTTGAAATATGATTTTATGTAAAATAATTGATATGAAAAAGCCGTCTTATAAGTTATGACCCCATTTCACCACACGCAAGTGGCAGAAATGACAATGATCAGCTGACGCATTTTTCTTGGCCGAAGTCAGAGCGCGCGGCCCGACGCACCACGCGTATTTGGAAATTCCGACCTCGACGAGCATCAGAAGCCACCTAACAGGCGTGTTCGAAACCGCAGGAGATGATGATGAACGGGTTTATCGAAACTTGATTGGATGAGCATATCGGTAATAGCGATTTCAGTGTGTGCATTTATTGTTCATAGTGGTGTGAAATGTGGTTGGGGTACGACCGACAACCCGTCGGGGCGAATTTCGCACTGGGGTACTCAAAATTTGAAGAATTTAAGACGTTTCCATGAGTTTTGAAGGTATGGATAAGTTCTAAAAATCCGGTTCTCCTTATCTGGGCCATTAACTCCATACGGTCCAAGAAAGCTGGCACACTACCTTTAAGGTCAGGTCGCCATGTCAAGTTCAGTTATACGGTATACCTCTATCAAACTTTCCCCTCTCGCCATTCTTGTAGCTTTTCTCCCATAACTTCGAAATTTGGTACACTGTATACCTAATGTATGGGGTTATACGTATCAGCAATTCATTATTCTGAGGATTTGCATCTATGATCTGGAGGCAGGTCAAATACGTGACCTCATCATTAGAAAATAATGAGAAATTAGAAAAAGCACGAATGCCTCCTGCTTTGACAAAGTTCGTCAGACACGCAAAATATCTTTGGAGCCATGACAAATCAGCTCATCATTGCCAGGGACAGGGTGCAACTTATGGCGAGTGATGTCTCGAAAGGTCATTAGTGGAAATGTCCATCGAAAGCCACCAGCATTTTTTCTACAACTTTTGACAAAGACGCGGTAGAGCGATGACAGCACCTGGAAGGTGTTCACTGTTCAGCTCAACAACACGGATCCATTCATATGCAACAGGAGGTCCTTTTTCGATCATGACAACGTTGACCTGAGGTCGTTTTAACGTTAATTCTGAATGGTCAAATTTTAACTCATGTGACGCGTCTCAAAGAGATAAACACGGTGGTGACAAGACAACATATGTAAATACCAAACAAATTCACGGAATCTAAAGTTATTGCAAAGCAAATGTTTCGGCAGAATCTGTCCAGTTAGCTGTTTGCCTTCTATGGGCAAAACATAGACCTGAGATGAAATCTGACGCGAAGCTAGCGAAAGAGCGTTGAAAGAGCTATCGAATATGTTTTCTGCTTCACTGTAGCCCTTCTTTTGGTGGGTTGCCAGTCCGCAGTCGCTAACGTATAACGTATACTAAAGTACCGCTGAGGTATGCTTTCGACCCCTGATCGATCTAGAGGTTTGCGAAAAAAAGAGCATGCTGCCCGTGACGAGAGAAAGCCGATGATAGGTACCCATTTACAAGGTTTCGGGTCATCTCAGGACTCAGGTCATCGCCAATAATCGCCATCGCCAATAAGTAGGGAAACTCGGGACCTGCTAGAACTTTGCGAATGTCAGTTGTGATGGTTTTTCGAGGTTCTGATTACGAATGTTATCTTAGTTTTGAACGAAGACGATGACTTTATGCATTTGGGGTAGATCAGGTCAGGTCAGATCGACCAGTACCTAATAGTGGATGACCACCACCGATTGCTTCCTAACATGTTATACATATGTATAAGCAGCACAACTACTTCTTAAATGCTCAGATGGGCGCTAAGTTCAAAATCAGCTCCAAAAACTTTCCTATACCTAAATTAAAAGCATGTTATGAAAAAGTGAACCAAGGTCATCTTTATTTGAATCAGGGATATCGATTTATTTTTTAGTAGGTGATTAACTCGAGCGCACCGGAAGTTTCGTTGCAATCGGCTCCTTTTTGCGCGACTTCTTTGCGAAAGCCCGAGACGGTTTCATCTGACTCCCTTTCCCCTACATGTGCACTGTACACTAGTTGTGACGGTAGCCATGGGGCTGAGGCTAGTTTGTAGTTTTTTAGTTACGTACTGATCCGACGAATCGACTGCGACCATTTTTTTTTAACGATCAGACGAGCGCTCGGGGCAGTTTTGGCGCGTCCAATATTTTGAGGGATAAAAAGGTACTAGAATGGTGGCTACTTAAAAATATTGTTGTGCTGGTGTTCCCCGCCCATAGCTAATTGAACTTCAGGTAATTGGCTAATTGGCTTTAGGGAGCTCTTGAAGCGATTCTGAATCTGATGTATTTGTTGGTGTTGCTGACGCCTGCTTCACTGACATAAAAGCTAAAAAAAGCATACTCAGCATCGCAGAAAGTGGGGGGGTCGACACCCCCAGTTTTCAAGAGTGGGGGGGTCACGACCCCCCCGACCCCCCCGTCGGCGACGCCCCTGACTCACAGATCAGACAAATGATCAGTGTGATTGATTCGTGGTCTGTAAAATGTTTACTGACAAAACTGTCTCTGTTTAATTTGTCAATGGTTTGAGTGCTTGACGAGATACGGGCTCGTTTCAAAAGGTCGCCAGAGAGTATATCACTGGCAAATCGCCGCTTGGTGCATCGTGGCTCGTTTCCATGCGGAACACACAATCTGCCTCTGAGCGTGGCCGAACGCTTTTGAATTGCACCCACAGGGCAAAACATATCGAACGGCAGGGCCATCCGTTTTTTATCCGTTCAATAATCGTGCAGGAACGTTGGACTATAAATCTGGAGGCCACTATCGTATCCTTGATCTGTAGGCAGCGCCCGTGTGGCGGCGGTCGCGTGGGGTGCGGCGCGGCGCGATATTTCTATCTGTCGCACCATTGTTCGCCTTTTGGTGCGGCCGCGCGCCGCTCGGCCCGGGCCGGTTTGGACGGGGTGGGGCGGAACGGCCGAGGGAGGACGCCGAACAAAGTGGTCGCCTCGGGACGCCGGACGCAGTGGGTCCCTCGGCTATGGTATGCGCCGCGACTGGTCGCGGATCAGGTTCGTAGGGCGGTGCCGGCCGCGCCGCCCCGCCCCCGTCCGCGCCGCCGCCGCCGCCGCTCCAGTTGCCAAGTGGAGCTGAAGTCCGTGCCGCCGGCCACCACCCGTACCCGTCACCGCTTCGTCATCGTCCCGCCGCCCATAGCGCCACCGTCCCGATAGCGTCGGTACTTCTGAGAAATCACTACCCCGGCCAGTCACCAGCTCAGCTGCGCACGCTAGCTACACTTACCACTAAAACTCCCGACTAGATTTCGTATTTTTAACTGAAAATGCGCGTAAATGGGCGGGCCCGCCCGCGAAGAACCAGTTTCTGATCTCCGATAGAGCGAGCTGATTAGGGCGTGGCCCGTCGCGCCCACCTGGGGAACGCAAGGAACGTTGAACCGCGTCCGGCGCAGCGACAACCTGCTCTTTGTTAGGAACACAGACGGACTAGGAATCCAAGTGGAATTTCAGTGGGATTTGGAGTAGAATCGGAATTAGAATGGAGTCGCCTGGTGAGCGAGCCGACGGTCGCCAGTTGGGACACCCATGACGCGGCGATTTCCGCTCCAGATGCGTTTCTTGGGAAAAGGTGAGCGCGGGGCGCCCCACCCCAGTGTCGCTACTACCGCCGGCGGCTTCTTACCGGGCCGGATGGGACACCGCCGGCTCCTGCACCCATATGATGCCAGCGGTCATTTTCCAGGGCGCTGCGCGTAGCGTTTTAGGTGGCCGTCTCCCCTACTTTCTCCGGGCGTGGATTACCGTAATTCCTAGCAATGCCGGTGTTTTGTGCTCATTTTCGACGCCGCTGATAAATGACAGAATATGTGTGATTGATCGATGTCACATGATTTTATGATCCGTTCGTCCCCGTTAGTCACAGTAGTTTGCCTAGACATTTTGAGAAAAGGACCCACGTCTGTCAGTTTGAAATGGATGGTGCATGTGTAGTCATTCTTTTACGGCGTATTTCCCATTACCATCATTAACCGAAACAAGCTGGTCAACGTTCGATCATTTTTCGCCGTAGCGTGGATATTTTTAATGGGCCGGACCAATTAAACTTTCGTTTGTGAGCTCATCTGCTGCTGATTTCCCTGCGGCCTGTCTGTACCATGAGTTTCTCCTCTCGCCATCGAGCGGACGGCCGTCAAAACGTTCATGCAAATGCCGCGGCGGTAATGTTTCTTCAACTGACGCCAGTGGCATGTTTACGAACTGCTTACCGCGGTGTTATAACGCCATAACTAACCGATTCCAGGTTAAAAGGCTCGTCGCCAGCGCATCGCAAAGCGCACATTTTCAAGGCTGGCCGGCCGGTCAGTCGGTCGGTCAGTCGGGTGGCTGTCGCCGGACCTACCGTCGGCAAGTGGCCGACCTCCGGGGCCGACCCCGTTACTTGGCATAATAAAACTCGGCATCCAATGGCCATTAGCATATCCCATCCGCGTTGCGTGTCCTTGCCACAAATCGGCCCCCACAGCCGGCTCGAAGCCGTTGCAGCGGAGACGACGGCGCCGCCGCTATAGGGGCCATCCGCAGCGCTGTACGATTGAAAAAAGACCTCTATCAGTTGGCTCGTTACCAGAGGTCGCATCAGTCGTAAACCATTAGATATAATTAAATCCAATTCGTCTGTGTGGTCGAGGAGGCGGCGGTAAGGCGGCGCCGCTCTGTAGACGGACAATGGCCGAGTGTAATAGTTTGACCATCATTCAACGGGTGTCGTACGCCGCTCGAAAAACTACCCACTATCACAGCCGAATGATGATGAAGTGTGCCATTATGTCACCTCTGGTAGAGGCTTTCACGCGCAGTGCAGCGCCAATTAGAGTCGGCACACTCTGAGAAATGTCTCGTACCGACTCGTGAACAATGCCCGAGCATGAAGCCTCAATTACATGAGAACATCCAGCCGATCCGATCATTTAGAATCTCGTCGGCATTACACAGCAATTATAATTACTGTAATGACGGTAGCACATTTAACGATGTCTCCGGTGGGGGCCGATTGAATTTATGATGCTCACTGTACACGACACACTAATGTTGGGTTGTCCAGCGTCGTGCCGGACTCAAGTGCCGAACTCGAACCACTCATGGCAGCCGCAAAGCAGCGGCCGGCGCCTTCTTTGATGGGAGAAACCGACTGAAGATTATTTTACATTTTACTCCCGGGCGTGACGACCTGATAAATACCTGTTTATCATCCTAGTTCACTATCATGCATTAAATCGGCATCGTTATTGGTACATCACTAATCGTACCAGCTGTGGTTGGGCGCAAACACATCAGAGAGACGAGCTCGTAACAATGCATGTGGTCCCTCGGCGGGCTTTACTGCTTGTTAGCCTGATTTTAAGCGGCCCTAAATTCTCTGTTTGCGTCTCATTGGCGTTTAGTATCGATTTTGTGACCGAGCGGTCGGGGCGTCTCGCTCGTAGGACGGGCGCGTTTAGTGGGTTTACTGCAGTCCGACCCGGCAGGTCGCTCTCCGGCCACCCCGGTGGTCTACGGATGGGGTCAGGCCGAACCGACCCGCTCCCGGACTCCGCCCTGTCTCCGCCGCTACTCCGCGCGCGGAGAGCACCCAGATGACGCCCCGATACGGAGAATCCCCATCCGTCTTGGTACGGAGAACGCCGCCGGCCGCACCGTCTCCGGTCACGACTCTGTGGACCGCGCGGCGGATCTCAACCCTTCTCCCTCCGGTCCGAAACCGTTGGCCGGTGGGCCGGCGGGTGGCACTGCCGCTGCCGGCCGCAGCGTGTCATCAGCAACACCTCAGCTCTGTGGTTATCCCACATCAGGCGCCATCGAGCCGGGCTGTTATCGCGCCGAGCTGACATAACCGCACCGCCCAACGGCCTCTACGGCCACCACCCGAGCCGGCGCGCTCATTTTACGCGGGTTTTCCTTGGCCGCGCGCTGGGAGCGGCGGTTGGGGCGCCGTGACTGCTGCTCAGCTGGAGATCGTCCCAAATACAGTCATTTGCTCAGGTGCAGCGGGGCTGGCGGTGACACGTGCCCCACGGCGGGGGTGGGGGCTCCCTGCGGCAGCTCCGGCCGGCCCAGAGAACTGCGCTGTGCCGCTCCACAGCCCGGGTGGGTGGCATTGCTGGCCTACCGAGCCGACCCTCGTCGGGCCGGTCTGGCTCCGTGCAGCGGCGCCGAGCGTGGCACGGGCTTTCCCGACCGCGCGGCCCCGGGTGACAGCGCGGCGCCCGGCCGTTTCGGCGGCCAGTTTGGGGCCACATCCGCCCCTGACCGGGTCATTGCGAACACACTACGGCCCAGAATGGCCCATGGTACCAGTTTGGGCCAATTAAACAACTTCAGGCGCGGTGGTCTGCGGTTGAACGCTGCTATAGTGGGTACTGAGGCTTGAAACTCTCACGACTTTGCTCGGGTGGTGCGTTATCATAGCGGGGCGTAGACGCTGGAACTGGAGTAAAGAACCGAAACCAGTTGCTGGGCCACGCCCTGTCCGCTGTACTCGTTTATTTAACGTTCACGGTTTCAAACAGCCTGCAATGTAGAGTTCCATTAGACATCATCAATCGAGCTACAAGCGGGTCGCTTCCTCTGATTAAATTTACCCTCAGTGTCGGCATCCCGTGGCTGTTTTGGGTTGCGGAGCTTAGTGACGGTCGCCAGGCGGGACTTTCCGGCAGAGAAGGCCATGGCCGCGGTGCGGCGGCCACTCGACGCGGTTTTTAGCGACAGGCACTTGAAGCGACTGAGAGGCTTCAGATCTTATCGCGTTGATGCAGAGATTTCGCGCGGGGTTCTGTTGAGATCTTCCTTGGAAATGTTTCGCAAAGACGTTTCTTGAAATGTTGTTTGAACGGATCTATTTTGTGGCAACGCCAAACAAATCAGTTTCGCGAATGCGCTGATGTTTCGTGGCGATATACTGGGCGTGTTCGGTGCGCGGTCGGATCTATCGTTGGCTCGGTTTTTCCTGCGGCGCCCCCCCCCCCCTCCTGTGGAGGTCGGGCGGCGCCGGTGGGCTGCCGAGCTGCTGCAGCAGCCCGGGGAGCTGCCGCAGCTCCGGGAGCGCTGCCCGGCCGACGCTACGCCGAGCTGTGAGTTATGAGACATCGGCAGCCACCCGGTGGGGCTGGCTCGCTCGGCAGCTGGTCTGGCACGCTGTGCTGTGCTCTGTGGTGCGCCGATGTGGTGGAGGAATCAGTGGGGTGAAGCGATGTTCCTTGATGAGAAACCGGACACCCAGTGACACCGTGATATATCATCGACCGATGTCCACCAGTCTCGTGACATAAACTCTTCTAACCACCTGATGGAAACTCCACCAACCGGCTGACCAAAAACAAACGAGATAATTAAACAACACCGCGCCCGATCGGTAATTCATCTCAGACCACCTACCTAAAAAACGACCCACAAAAAACTGAACCACTTCTCTAACACCTGTACCGGTGTTCAGACCATGTAAAACACACGGCTCTCTGAATCTCTTTTCCCTCGCCGCGGTGGCGAGTCAGATCCGACAGATGTGCGGCGGACCCACCGGTATCCGGCCACCGTGCATTAATTACACAGTGATTGGCGGCTTGTGACGTGCGATATCCGCCCACCGACGGCTGTGTGACGTCTACTGTGACGTCCAGGCTGTGTCTGATGTGTGATGTCTGCCCTCTGGCTGACGTGCCATCTGTTAATGTTTGTGACTTACATTTTGTGATAGATGTGTAAGATGTTATTTTTGTGTTGTTGTTTTGAAAGCTAGATTTTATTATTTATCCTGTCGTCCTCGTTCCGCATGCTTGTCGTCTCGTTTACCACTGCTTTGCACATGAAATTCACTAGCTGCCTCCTGTGCTACACAGTTGTGCTGTCTGATGTAACAACTGCCATAACTGACGTCTGTGACGTTGCCCGGCAGGCCGACTGCGCCCCAGAGCAGATGGAGCCGGTGGACCTCAGCATCAACAAGTTGACGGCTGCCGGCCACGCGCGACTCAAGGAGGCCACCCGGCCGGACGTCGTGCTGAACATCCCCCACTTCACCTCCAGCGAGCTCACCGTCATCAAGACAGGTGAGAACAGCGCGGGGACTGCGCGGCACGGTCCTGGGCGGGGCGGTCCCGGCGGGCGGGGCGACGGCTGTGGGAAGCGGGCGGCGGGCGTGCTAGCCGCCGGCGGTTTCGGAATGCGTTCGGGGCGATACGGACAGTGCGGCGGCCCGGTCGTGTGCCGTTGCCAGTGTCAATGGTGCAGATGGAGCGCAGATAGGGTGGGGCGACATTGACCTGGTTGCCGCCGCCTGTTCCGCCATCACAATCGCACGGGTAGGGGCGGGGAGGCCGATGGGGTGCGGGCGACACGCTGCGGGGGGGGGGGGCACACGCAACTGGTCCTGTCGTACCCCGGGTCTCTCTGAATTATGTTGGTATCTGCAGTATTGCATACTGGCGAGCCACTCTAACACCTCCAGGTATTTCCTAGAGGTGACCTGGCCAGATCACTGCTTGCTGACCCGACCTGCACGTCCCAGTACGATGGGCGGTTCGGGGAGTGTGGCCCGGGCCGCTCTGCCCGCCGGCGCCGGGCTGCGAGCTCAGCCGGGTCTCTAACTGGTGACCCCTGACCTGTAGCGGGCCGGCCCGGGGTTCCCACACCCTCCCTCGGCGGCCGACCCACTGTGCAGTCTCATTACACAAGAATCGTGCCAAAACACAACCAGTAATGGCAGCCTTGGCGGCCAAATTTATCGCTCCCCAGGCAGACATCGATCGTAATTGTAATTACTTTTATACGGGGCACGCGTGTCGGAGCGTGGTAAGCGACCATCGCCGGGCGGCGGCGGGGGCGGGGGCGGGGGCGGGGGCGGCAGGGCGCGGTCGGCAGGACGGCGCCGCCGGCGGCCCGGGAGTGCCGCCGAGCTGACGGCAGTGCCGTGTCTCGGCCATAGCGCCGCCGCCGGCGGGCGTCGTGTCGACCCACTCGGTCGGCCCCATGGCGGCGCGCGAGGCTCGTAACTCGCCGCCGGAGCTGGCCGCTGTAACTCAATGGTGGCCGGGTGGCAGCGCACCGCCGGCGGTGCTCCTCAGCGGGACGCCGATCGAGTCGTGCGGTCAATGGCGCGCTTGTCGCCCCATCGACGGCCGCCGCCGCCGACTACTGGCTATCCCGTCCGGTTGGAAGTGTTGTATCGGCCGTCCGCCTTCAGTAGTCGGCCCTCCGACCGGACGCCGCGCCCTGTACCCGCCCTCACCCTCCACCGCCGCCGCGCCGCCGCCGACGAGTTTTCCGCTGACCTTGGCTGCGCCGACGTCAGGGCCCGGGCGGGTGGCGAGGAGGAATTAAATTACCCTCGCTTCGTGTGATTACGCATGTTTTCCGAGGCGGCGCTCCTCGCTTTCCGCCATCGTCGGGCGAGGCGCTTTGGGCGCGGCGCGGCGCCGAGCCGCACAAGGTCAGGGTTACCGGCGGCCGGCGCGACTTCATCGGCGCTGGTCATGTGCTTTAGTTAGCATTGCTAATGCGTCTTTTTATCGGGCTGTGTCGGTGTCTTAGTTGACCTCCCGCGGCGGGCGGCGGCCAGGGTAGGAGAGTGGTTTTTAATGTTCCCGCTGACGTCGCCACGGCCGGCGCGGCGGCTGCCGCTGCTGCTGCTGTCGCTGAGGCTGCTGCTGTTGCGGCTAAAGCTTCTACCGTCTGTACTGACAGTGCCTGTTGTGGTGGCGTTCCCCTGTCAATATCCGGCCTGCCAGTCCTTTCCTCCTGCACCGGTCGATCACGTCCCCACCGACCGCTAATGAGCCTTCAGGCGGGCGTCCGTCACCGGGCTCGGGCCGCGCTGCCGTCATCGTATCGGCACCGCCATCGGCAGCCGGCAATGAAGATGACGTATGCGGCCGATAACGTCATCAATCGGTGCCATAATACAGAAGGTGTCCGGCGGCGACAGCGATGCCGGACTTTATTAGACGCTCCGGCAACGAACATCTATGGCGCCGCATGTAATCGCACTTGTCTCACTGCGGATTGGCCGTGTAACTCAGTGTGCACGTCGGCCGAAGATAGATCTGATTTAGGGCGCGGTCTCGGCGAGCGTGTCGGACGCTGCGTGCCGGCCGCACCCCTGTGAGATGCATGGCCCGCTGTCGGTCGGAGGTCGTGCCGCCGAGCGGGTGGAACTGTTTGTGAGGTGCTCCGTCGCCCGGGACGTTAATCGTTGTCGGTTGTCGCCGCTGTCGGTCCATGCTCGGTCTCTGCCGTCCGCTGTCGGTCTTTCCCGGCCTGTTCTGTCGGTCGATGTCTCGGAGGCGGTAGTACCGCTGCATGTCTCTGTCTCTCCCCTGTCTGTCGCTGTCTCCCTGTGGACACCGGAGGCCGCGGCGGCCACCCAGTCTGCCCGGTCGACCTCTGATGAAGACGCATTGCAGTGCAGATGAGCGCGCCCCCGCCGCCACTGCCGTCCCCTCCCCTTCCCGGCGGCCGTGATTATTTATTGATGCCGTCCGGGTGGTGGCATGCCAGCCACGCTCCGAATGTTGGTCCCCGTCTGGGTGCTATTCGTCATCGCCCGGTGGCAGCAGTCTCCTTCCTGTGCCGCCCCTCGGCGGCTCTCTGGCCGGACCTCGTCGGTCAGATATGATCGGTGCTGGCGGCGGCGACCCGCCCTGTGATGGTGTGCTGTCGCCGCGCCGCCCACACCGCGGATCGATCGCCGAGGAAGGATCGAGGAGAGGCGGAGGAACAGGAGTGGTCTCAGCACAGGGAAAGAAAACAGAGACAGAGACAGGCGAGCATAGCTTACATAGAAATGAAACCACACCTAAGAAACCGTATGGAACAATTCAGTACAGACCAAAACAGACTGCAGGGAGGCTCCAAGCTAGACAGTAGCGTCAGATAAATGTCATCGATTTGGGCCGGTCCGGCCGGGCCCCGCCCTGGCCCTGGTTCGGTCAGCGGCGGCTGCTGCGTCCGACTTTCGCCCGGCCACCGCGACCGTCTGTCAGCCGCCGGGCGAAGATCCACCCCGCAGATTGGCGGCCGAAGAGAGAGCGAGCGGCAGCGGCGGCCGCTCGGAGTCCCGCCCGAGCGTCTCGGTCCGCCCGCCCTCGGCCGGTCCCTCGCCCGCTCCCCGCCCCGCCTGGATGAGAGGAAAGGAACAGGTCATCGACTCATGCCGGGTGGAGCCGCGGCGGCGCGGTTAATTGGCCGCGGTCGGGACGGCCGCGGCGTCGGGTGTGGCCGCCGAGGAGGCTGGGAAAGCCGGCTCGAGAAGCCGCCGGCCGCGCCGCCGCCCTCCGGTCGCCGCAGCCGGCGAGCTGTTCAGTATTCTGCTGACTGCGGCGCCGCCTGTCAGCTTGAAGAAGGGGAGAGCCGTTCCCCTCGACTGCCGCCGTCGAGACACACCCGCCGTCGTGCAGAGACGCACCCGCGGCGCGCGCGACCTGCACAGGACGCTCCCGGATGTAGCTGGCCGCGGGGCCGGGACGTCTAAATGGCTCGTTAGCGCAAATGCAAATGACTCCGACCGGCAGGCTGCTGTGTTGGTGTCAAGGAGAGCCGCACCCCGCACCGTCATCGCCGCGCCTCGGTCGGCCATCTCCGCGCGGCTCCTCTTCACGCTAGTCTGCTGATTCGGTGCGGCCGGCTAGCGGTGCAGTGGACGGTTGGTGGGGTTTGCTGGCGCTGGGCGCGGCCGCGGACCGGACTGGCTCTGTCCCCGGCTAGGCCACGGGCGGGGGCCGGGCGATGACGGCGGTGGTCGGTGTTAATTGACCGGTCACGCCGCCCTAATGGCCAGGTTGGCTCGGAGACGTGACGCCGCCCGCCGCGCCGCCGCCGCCGCCGACACAGGAGCCGACTGCCTCATGAGTCGGCACGATGACTCTCAGTGCGCCGTCAGGGTGCCCAGATCGACGGCTGCCACGCTGCTGCGCTCGCAGACGAACTTTATTGACCCTCGCCGGACAGAAGGAGTAGCTATTAGCTAGATCGCGTTCCATGGTATATATTCTATACATGGGAGCGGCTCTGACGGCCAGCAGTCAGAGATCAGACATCAGAGATTCATGTCATCTTTCAGCAGCTACTCGCTCCGCTACCATGAAGCACTCTGAATCTGTCGGCAGCAGCGGGAGCCGCCGTGAACTCAGCAGCCCGCTGCTGATTAGCGCTCGACGAGTCGGCAGATACTGAGGAGCACGGCGCAGTTTTTGCCGAGCGGAACCGCGCCCCGCCCCGGCGCACCCGGCCAGAGCGCTGACGTCCAAAGAAAGCCGGCAGCATTAGGGCGGTTATCTGTTGTCAGCGGTCGGCGCACGCCGCGCCGCAGCCGCATTGTTCTCCCGAATGCGATCGATCTCGCTCCGATGGCTACATCATTATTTTGAGCGGCGCGCATTGTGCCAAGCCGAGGCGTGAAGTGGCGATCACGGCCTCCGACAGCTCGCAGACAACTGAGGTGTCAGTCGGCAGCGCCGCGCGCGCCGCTCGTCAGTCTGTCTCAGATCGTGAGCGTCCGTCGGCCCGTTAGTGAACGTTTATGGCTTCTGTTGTGCTCAAACCGCGACACGAGCCACCGTGGGGCAGGCAGTTTCAGGTGGTGTTCTGAGAATTGTTGTTTTTTGTTGTAAGGAATCCGATTGAAAATACCAAGGAAGGTCACATGCTCACTTTCCCACCACGAAAATCAGCCGTCTTTGCAGATTTAGAAGCGTTTTCTTTGCTGGGGTTTTCTCAAGATAAGAATCACAATATTGTTTTGTGGTAACCTTCACAATGTTGCCTCCGTCTTTGTCGTGATTCTCGGCTGCAGGCTGCAGTTATGATCCTGAGTGATGAACTTTCGCTGTAAAACAATCTCCTCTTGAAGCAGATCTTAGCACGATCCTGCCACATTTAGGTGTCACAGTTTTAGACCTGTGCACGCCGAAGCAGTAATCCCGGAAACCCGCCTCCGCGGTCGCTCGCGCGTCACCTGTTTGGAAATTCTCGTGAGAGACTGCAACGCACGGTCGTCGGCTAACACTGGAGTGACTGCAACTCCGCACAGCAGTGTACCACCAGCGACTTCAAC